GAAAGAGAGAGAAAGAGAGAGAAAGAGAGAGCGCGCGCGAGCGAGCGCGCGAGAGCGAGCGCGAGAGAGCGCGAAAGCGAGAGCGAGCGAAAGCGAGAGCGAGCGAGAGCGAGCGAGAGCGAGAGCGCGCGAGAGCGCGAGAGAGAAAGAAAGAGAGAAAGAGCGAGAGCGCGCGAAAGAGCGAGAGCGCGCGAAAGAGCGAGAGCGCGCGAAAGAGCGAGAGCGCGCGAAAGAGCGAGAGCGCGCGAAAGAGCGAAAGAAAGAGCGAAAGAAAGAGCGAAAGAAAGAGCGAAAGAAATTAAACTGTGTTTATCTCAACCCACAAAGTTTTTTTTCTAATTCTCTCCCCCGTCCCACTGCGGGAGGGGGAGTGAGTGAGCAGCTGCGTAGTGCTTAGTTGCCGGCTGGGGCTAAACCACAACAGGTGGGCAGGGCACTCCCTCTTCTGCAGATTCCTGAAGGATAAGAGAACTACCACCACCTGCTGTGGTAAGTGCTTGGTTCACTACTCTGTTTTCAAAATACACAGGCCAACAGCTGGCTGACTTAAAAGACAGAAAAAATAAAACCTTTTTTTTGTCCTAAAAAACCCCACAGATTTATATTCACATGACCTTATACACCACCAGAAAGCAGTGAGTGATGGTGTCCGGCAAATGTCCTGCAAATGACACTTTTGTTTCAAGACATCTAAGATGATCAAGTAAGCACTTGCAGGATCTGCAGCCACAGGACCTGAATAGAATTCAATCTGTCAAATACATTTCTGTATGCAGGTTATCAGAGTTGGCTGTCTTTTACACCAGCCAGAACAAGGCACTTTTTGAGAATTAGCTGCAGCTATCAAAAGAAAAGCAGTTAGTGCTACTTAGGTTTCCTAAACAGCAAAGAGCTCCACTAAAATTCTCTGAATTCCAGACGACTTTAAAAATCAAGGCACTAGAAAAGTATATTCTGTCTTGGCAAGCACAGTTTCAACATAACATCAGACTAGCAAGTACAAATTGGTCATGTTTTAATAAAAAACAACAATACAGTAACAGAATGATACTAACAAAAGAAGTGCACAATGAACAGTACTTCATGAACTATTAAAATTGCATGCACTGTAAACAGTTAACAAAGTTAGTTGAAAGGCAGGCTACAGTTCAGTGATCTGAATGCACGGGCTGCAGCTGCTCACAAATGCAAGAACCCCTGTTTGCAGGAAAAGCCTTAAAACATAACAAGCACTCTGAGCTCCTCTCTCAGAAAGCATTCTCCTCCCCACAAACTCAGTGCCATCCACCCTTGTTCAGAGATGACAACTGCCAGAGTTTTCAAGGTAAGATCCCCAAAGACCACGTTCTCTTTGTGGTTAACGGAGCCTTGGATGCACAGAACTTCTCAAAATCACAACTGGTTTTGCAAGGTATTCTGTCTCTAAACATCTGTAGGTGTAGAGTCCATAGTCTCCAAACTACTATATTGTTGTCAAATTGTATTAAAAATTTACCTGTTTCAAATGAAGTAGATGTCTGAGGTTATTTTTCCATGCTAACATACCTTTTAAAATCACACCATAAAAGCACACTAGAAAGACTTCAAGTGCAAAGCGCTCCTTCCACCTCAGGGGAGAGGATTAAAAGCCTAACACAAAACCCTGCTGTACACTCAAAACTCAAGCTGTTTTGTCAGGGCACCAGATTCACCAATGTAGTTCACTGAATTCATGATGGCTCATGTCAGTTTCAGTTGAAAATCCCAGGATCGACATAAGGATATGCAAGGAACTCCCCCAGTTTATTGCCTTCCGCATCGTAATGGAGCATGCGAAAACAAACATCACAGAAGAAACAAGGATCCTCTGGTGCCAGACTGTCTTCATTGGTTACCCACCTGCAGGTTACAAGACAAGTGTTTTCCATGTGAGTCCAAATGTCACAAATCCATATTTCTGACAAACTTCTCAACATTTTACTCAGAGTTCGGGATGGCAGCAGCAAACATCAGTAATAATGTTATACTGAGCAGGTACTACCATTATTTCGTACCTCCCATCCCAGGCATAGAGCTCGTTTCCGAACTCCACACCCAATCAGTGCCAATCCCAGCTGTTATCTTACACTGCTAGAGCAGCTTTTGCTGAGCAACTCCTTGAACCTGTGTAGCTGACACAGGGCATAAAAAAAAAAAACCAAACAGGAATCTTCTGTCTACTCTATGGACATAAATCTGTTTTACCTTAAGGTAAGAAGCTGTGATACAGATCAGATGTGTAACTGACCCAAATTACCCTGAGTAATAACCAAATCCATTTACAGTCTAAAAGAAGGGCCCAGATGACACAGACAAGACAAGGAGAGGATTGCCGCGCACTCCAGCAAGCACTGAAGTGAACATGAACACAGCCGCTAGCACAAGGGAGGGCCTGCCATGTCACCAAGCAATTAATTTTTGGTAGCACACAGATGCCATGACAGCTTAAGGCCTCTAGTGATTAAAGATGCTACCTGCACAGATTAGAATATGCAGAACAGCCAGTCAAAGCAGCCCTGCTATCCGTGGTTTAGCATCTCCACACTTAAACTTAGTGCTTAATTCTGGTTTTAATTCAATGCATTGAATTAAAATGCCCTCCCCATCCCATCTTTCCCCCATATTGATCCTTTGGCTCCATCTCCCCTTATGGCCAAATGTCTCACAGATTATATAGTCACTCGTGAAGGCATCCTAGGGGCTCTGCTAGGAACACTAGGATGCGCTCCCACCAGGAGGGGAATTGGCTCTTTGCCTGATTCCAGGGAAGCCTAAGGCCAAACAAGCAAGATAACAGGGACACAGCTGCTGTGCCAAACAGCAGCTAAGTGTAAGCTGCCCTGGGGGAACAAAAGGGGAGCGGGCGCTGTTGTAAATAAACCTGTAAAATCAAGCAGCCTAGCCTAGCCTGTAGAACTCCTTTTGAGACATTTCTACTGTGTCTATTAAAAGGCTTTCTCATGTCTGTGTAAACAGCACTAAAGCTTATAGAGAGAACTGAATTTACATTCTGCTCTCTTAACTGCAGAAAATGTGTGCATCACAAAAAGTTCCTTCAAGTACACCTACACGCACAGAGTTCTCAGGCAGAAGTTAGGAGTTTACCTGTGGGAAAAGCTACATGCCTTTTAAAAAATCTCTAGATTTTACTATATTAAGGTTGGACAGATCCACGCTTCCCTTTACTTAGATGCTAGATACAATGAAAGCCCTGTATGACTTCTGGCAAATGAATTTGAATCACATGTCTTGTCATAGGGGAAAAAATGCAGCATTTTCCCCCAAAAGTAAGATTTTCAGAAGTAATTGATTAAGAGCTGAGCTCTACATATGGAAAAGAAGCTGAGCCAAATAATTAACCTCTTCATTTCAGTTATTTTGATCATCCTGAATCATCATCTCCAATGAATGCTACATGCAGGAGGCCTTTTCCTGGGTAGGGAGAGGACAACAGCCTGAAGATTAAGATCTCAGAACACTTGCATTATTCACACACCTTATGAAATACATGCAGAGCTTTGATTATTTTTTTTTAAAGTTAGTTGCAGCACCTACTTAAGAAGACAACTTAAAAGGATTGAAAATGTAGTGTACCTGGCTGTATACATTTTGCACACAAAGCATTTTCTGGTACATAACCAGTGTTTCTTGATTAGCAAGGGATATAGGTTTCTGTCCAGGCAGTCATCATGATGAATGAGCCTTAAGGGAAATAAATAAATACAAAAAATACAATAAAGTCTCAGCCACATTGGAATTTATGTGAACATAAGCATGAACATTGAAGATAAGGCATGATTTAAATTCCTGTGTAAACTACGACTAGATTTCTGCTTAGCATTTCTTAACACAGATGAAGACCTGGAGACAGACTGCTAATTGCACCATAGGTGGATTTTATGGTCAGGAGTAAAAGTCTTCAGACCATCTCCTTCAGATGGTCTTTTCAAAGCTTTTATCTCCTACATAGACTAACAGGCAAAAACATGACCAGGTGAACGTTTAGAGGCTCATAATCCTGAGATCATGTACTTGCAAAGTCTATGCTTTTCTTTGGGTTGTATTCCTCTTGGGAGGCACGATTTACTAACAACGCTTAGATACATCAGGCTTCTGGGAACTCAAAATGATTTGTCACCCACTACAGACAATCAGAGGAGTGCTCCCTCTACCCATTACTCACTGAACAGAGCATACACAATAGTTCTACTGTCAATGTGGTTCCCACCTCACAACTACTATCATCTCTTCCTTCACTCCCTTGCCTGTCCACTTCAGCCCACTATTTTCATGCCTGTTCTCTTTCCAGTTCCTACCCCTTAGCACCAAGTCTAAACTAACAAGTCCAGCTGACTTGAGCCAAAGCCATTAACAGCATTTTACTCCCTGGTGCTCCAGAATCAGTACATAAATCTGCCACACATTGGCTCCATATAGAAATGGCTTTTCAATGTGGGTGCGGTTCGTCTCATACCACAGTCATGCTATGCCAGTTAGAAAGCGTTCTTTTTATGCAGACAAATTGTTTAAAAGAAAATGCAAGGGAGATTACTTTCTTCCCTGCAGAGGTAGGGGTCCTCCAGAAGGAAGTAGAATAATCTCAAAGTTAGTCTAACAAATATTCAGCATTTAATGTCTTAAGTATGTCCACAGAAAGCTTGCTTTCAACTGCCTAAGGACTCACAAAGACCAGTAGCTTACCTTATATCTGTGATGATAACTATGTGCTCACAGTCCCCTTGGTGGCAGAAAAGGTAGGGAAACCAACTTTGAGGGACAAATCATTAAATGTGTAGTCCTCCATTTTAGCAGACTGAAGATTTCCATAGCCTCTGTCATGAGATTCTGACCACTCAATAATTGTTCTGAAAACAGAAAGGTCATCAGTGTAGCAATGCTATAATGGTGAATGAACAGAAAACGAAGGCCTGGGGGGACATGCAAAACTGTTCACTGGGACACAGTTAAAAAGACAGAAATCAAAAGAGTTCACAACATTTTCTAATAATTTCAGGTAATTTCACAGCAATACACACGCCCACAGAACTGTGGAACACCTGCCTTTAAATGCCCAACAGGCAGCTTCCCGAGGAGTTCTAGTCAGAGTGTGTGCTCCTGATGGCACCCACCCAGCTCAGGTTGTTTGCAGCACAACACTTTTCTCAAGCATTCCAATAATTCAAGTTACCAGCAGGCAATTTTTGCTCCTTTGGTCAATAACTTAGTTCTAAGGTATTAAAAAGCTTTTTTTTTTTTTATTTTTGCCAAGGAGAACGCAGAGCTGACAGCTGCACAGTTACATTTCCAAAATTTAGCACTGGAAGGGCACTGGCCACTGTCACAATTATTTCTTGAATTTTCAGCACACTCCTACATACAACGCATTTCACTTCTACAAACCAAGTATGTTAGCACAAGCACTTCCATGAAGATGATTGTTGCTCATGGACAGAAAGAAAAGGAGCAAAATAATTAATTTGTCTGATATCACACACCAAGTCTGGCATAACAAGAACAGAGTCCAAACTCACAGCTCTTCCATACGATCCATTTTAACATCTTGATCTCCTAAATCTCACTAGCATGCCAGCAAGCCCACACTTCCTTAAAATAAACTACTATGTATAGTTTAAATGGATACGACTTGTGCTCAACCAGTGTGAGCTATAGTTCCAAACAAGAGATACCCGAGACTCTCGGCAATGTCATCTCAGATTTCTTTTCCCAACAGTCACATAGTCCCCTTGTTGACTTTACCATGAAGGCATTCGGTATATTTTCAAGACTGAGCAGAACAACTGACTTTTCTACACAGCTGAGCTGCTTGTTTATCTGACCCATCCTCTACATCACAGGCAAATCTTTCAGTGGTCATCATAACCAGGGAAGGCACTTAAAAAGATCATGAAGTCAAAACCATAAAACATGTCCCGAAGTGCCACGTCTACAT